TGGATTGTACGATCGTCAAACTAAACAAAATGAGGTGAGAACGGTACCAGACTTCTTTCTCATGAGGATGGTGCTTTAGCGTTCTAGACTTCGATGCCTTGCAGCACTGCACGTTATGTTCCTAGCGAGTACGTGTTTGTTTTAAGCAGAGGAGAGGACTAAAAGGCCCTTGGTAGCGTTAAGGTGCAGAACTTTACAGAACATCTGGATGAGTTAGGGTGGAGTAGTAAAGGGTTGTGTCTGTAATCTTTATTTGAAAACAACTAACAAGCTCTTTCCTTTCCCTTGTTCCTCACACTGAGCATGTGTCCAAAAAAAAATGTTTTCTTTTTGTATTCTCAGTATGCATCCTCAGTCTGTTTGGTGATTCTGTTTGCAAGAAAAAATTCTAAACCTGAATGCTCTGTAATTCAGTGGCAAGAGCCGTGCGAGGACAGGATCCTTTGCAGGTGTGCCCCTAATTGTATGACATAGGTGAAATCTTACATTAGAGCTAGTGACAAGATCCGAGACTCGAAAGAAGCGGTAACAAACAAACAAATGAGGAAAAGGAAAAGTGATAAAACCAGTTTAAAATATGCTTTCTGGCCGTGAAGGTATTTGCTTTAAAAATGAAAAGGGCATATTGGTCAGCAGCGTTTTCCTAAGGAGGAGTAATTAAGTGGTTTTCTTTATATAGTTTAAAAATGATTTATTATCCTGAATGTATTTCTCTGTAGCACCTCTATATGTTTGAGAGAGATCTGCACATAATCAGCTGCTCAGTCAACAGTGAAAGGACATTGTTGGGTAAATATGTGTTTTATCTATCTATCTATCTATATATTTTTTTTGCATTATGATAAAGGTGATTTAAATTAATAGTTTGATAGGTTGCCCATAGCCATCTATGTATTTTGGTGGGTCCATCACCAAAGAGTATAGGTGGCCATATACCTTCACTACAGTTGCATCCTTGTTTTTTATTGAAGCAAAAAATCTAAGGCGCACTGATCATTGTTCATGTATATATTTATACGTGCCTCTTATATTTAGAGGAGCTGCTGTTGTTCCTTTAAAGTACATGTTTTTGGTAAGACTTTTAATGTTTGCTCTCTTAAAATGTTCACTAAGATTAACAGCAAATATGCATTCTTAATGTGTGTCTTTTTTTCTTTGTTAGCTGTCAGTTTCCGTCAATATACAGAGGAGGAAAGAGTAAGTCGACTACTGCAGTCAGGTACTACAAATAGGTTATTTTAATACTGTTAGAGATATTATTACCCTTACTTTTGCTCTTGCCCCTTAATTTCTCTTTAGAAAACAGAATTCTATATTAAAAAAAGCTATATGAAACATATGTTCTTTTTGCAGTATCCAAATATTTAACCTTGCTAATTGAAATTCATCCCATTAATAACGTGAGGGTGCTAAAGGCTGTGGATAGCTGTGTTCGAGTACAGGTAAATTATTCACCTAATCTAAATATACACCTTTTCCATCCGTTATGCTGAAGTGAAAAAATACTTCAATGCAGAAATACCTCATGTTTAATCTTGTAAACTGTTACTGAGATAGTTTGCCCATGCAATACTTCATATAATTTTTATGAGGTGGAATATTTCCCTGACATGAAGGCTACTTTTTTAATTTTAATTCGATCTATCTAGGCCTGTTTATAGGGATAGATGACTATTATTCTGTAATAATATATATTGCTATTAATTGAGCCTCGTCAGTCTGCCTGGCTTTGTTGAAAATATATAAATATCCAATTAAGTAAACATTCAGGTGATAAATGTTCTAGATTGTTTTGGTAAGTAAGATCTTATTTATTTATTGTAAAACTTCTTGTATAGTTTCTTTATCCAGATGAAGGCAAACGTACTTCTACAGAAAGTCGTCTCTTGCTAGCTTCAGAAGATAAATGTGAGTGAACATTTTAAAAGCATATTTTCATTCTTTTACTTTAAGGTGGTTATCATTGATTGTATTTTTGGCAGGCTTTTATGGGAAAAACAGTAAAAAGAAAGGTCTGAACTCTTCTGGATATTCTGGATGTCTTCCAAAACTGTATACAATGAGATTTTTTTTCAATGTAAGCAGAATTGCCAGCTTTGACTGCAATTTTTTTTGCTTAGTCCATGTATTCATTAGTCAGTCTTCTGATTTTTAATAAAACTAAATTAGACTTTTACAGCTGCCTCTGTGAATTCAGAGAAGGTCATTTGACTATGACAGATGGATTCTGATTTAACAGCATGCCAGGTGGGAAAAGAACAGGACAAAAGTTCATTGGATTCATTGCATGTTCCGCCTACTCTAATAGGAGTGAATTCAGGAGTGAATGTATAGAGGTGGACACCTGCAAAAGGTAGTCTATCCCTCTTGCCTTTGGCTCTTATGACAGACTAAAATCACTTTCCCCATCCTTTTGAAGAGGCCCATCTTTTCTGCTAAGCTAGATGCCAACTTTTAGGTTGTTGGAATTCGGAGGGCAGAGTTCATCTCGGTAATCCATTCACATAATGCTTTGATCAGTGCCATTTGTAACATCTGTTAGGTGAATCTTGCTCTCTGAGCATAGGTAAACTACCAGTAACTTTTAGGAATTTTGCCTGAGCAAGAGTTGTGAGGTTGTATTTGTACTAGGAAGTGAAACATGACTAGGGTGTAGTTACAGCTCCATGCGTGCTCTTTCGTTTTAAGCATACTCCTTGGCTTCATTTAGTGTTTCAGTTAGTGCTTTTCTTGACAGTGCTCCAATGATGTGGACAAGAGGACTGTTTCCACTAGGCAGTATGGCTGAGGCTACCCTGCTTCAGGACAGGAAGAGAGTGTAGGTCTCTGAAGAGGCAAACGCATTCATACATCGCATAGATTTCCTCATACACTGAGTTGAATTTTTCTGGGTCTAATGTACTCTTATAACACTCTGAGAGGTCAAACTGTTATATTAACTATATCAAAACATAATAAAGGTATGTTTTTTAAGGATTTTTTTTTTTTTAATTTTAAAGATATTGAACAATTTGACATCCATGTTGTTGAAGAAGAAGAACACAAAGTGGTAAGACTTGAAAAACCTTGTTTTTAGAGGTCTTATGTTTTAACTGAAAAATTAGAAATGTCTATCTTCTGTAATTTTAGCTAACTATTTCTGTAACTCTATACTTGGGCAACACAAAATATATTAAAATATTGACAGTATGATTACTTTTGCAACTAACAACAAAGCTAAAAACCTGTGTACCATGTAATATATGAGGACAGATACTTATTTTATTGTTTTTCTTTGTCTCAAAATGTGTCTGGATCAAAAACACTGCTGGAAGTTAGCAGAAAACACAACGTACGCTTGTTTTTAAATCATTCAAAATATTCACTGAATTAAGTCACCTTCCTAACTTTGCCTTCTGGGATATTGTGTGCCCCAGTATAGGTTTCATTAAAAACAAAAACAAAGAAAAAAGCAAACCAAAACAACAACAACAAAACCCAAGCAGGAAACCTTTTTCCTCCCGATCTTTCTTCCTGTATTTCATGTAACTCCTCTTCACAAATTTATTGTGGATGTTCTGCTTAAAATGATTGTTACTGTTAGGCATACATCTAATAAAGTAAATAAACAATTGCTTCATAAAAGCCAATGTTTCATTTCCTGGATATAGATTTGAAGGGAAAAGGCTGTGGTCTTGATTTTCAGACACTTTGAAGTCTTTTAAGGAGGTTTTTCTTGAAGTGTGTGATTGTTTTTAAAGCATGTGGGTTTTATAAGGTAGTCTGCAGTAGTGGAATAAAGAATATCAGAGCAACTGAAAAATCAGGTCATGTCCTCCTAACAAACAGATTTGTGTTGTCATGAAATCTCCCTACATCTTTGAAGAGTACATTTAAACAGCTTTAAAAGCTTTCCACAACTTTAGACCTTCCCTGCTATCATTGCTCTCTGTGTTACTGAGACTTTACTTAGAACTCCCATTTGGAGCTAATATCTGTCTGTCTTTTTCTGGTTGATGTAGCTGATTCTGAACTGACTGTGGTATTTCACTCCTCTGCCTGTGGTGAAGGGTTCCATCTGTTTTACTTTGTTCACTTTATGAGCAGCATGAGTGGTGAATTCTGGAATCAAGGAAATATTAAAGAAAATGTTTGGTTGTAGGTGGGGTCTGAAACCATGCTTCCGGTCTCCTTAAATGGAGCACCTTGCACCCAGCAGAGGCAGACCATGTGTGGTGAACAAGTAGCATATTCCCTCCAAGCACCTTAGCATTTGAGGCTTTACTGTGCATTGCTTATCTCCTTAAGGCACCGGCTGTGCATAGTCATCATTACAAAACCTTATTTGATTTTTAATACTCTGTCTTTTAACTTTTCACTCTAGGTGATTCAAAACCCAGGTCAGCTTCCAAGAGCCAGAGTTGCAGATGATCTCATTTGGGCACAGTGGGACATGATGGAACAAAGGCTCTTCTACATTGTTCCAAAGGTAAAGTGAAAGTCACTCTAGCGGTTGTGTTCATGTCTGTCTTGTGATGGGAAAGTTCTGAGTGTGTGTGGTGGTAATGTGAGAGTTTGGTTTTCATTACAGTAGTCTGTCTAACTACCTCAAGTAACCCAAACCAAAACCTAGACTTGCCTTACTGCTGTCTGTGTTATGAATTGCAAGAAAACTGGTGGTCTCTGTGCTTACTGTAAAAGAGGGTGGGTTTGTGAGGGTTTTCTTTTTTTGCTTTAATAAAGCATTTTTATTCAAAGTGAGCTAAATCTACGAATAACTATCACAGGTAAATTGCCTGTATTCTAGAGAGTTCAGATCTAGAAAGTATAAGTTGTATCCAGATGTACTGAGTGCACCAAATGAGGGCATGTTCTGGGCTAGAAGTGTTCAAGTCCCCCTCTCCCCACGTTTATTTTTTCTCTGACTATCTGCGTTTGCTGTATTCTGCATAAATAAAAATTAACTTTCCTCACCTCTTCATACTCACAAAGAACAATTGAGCATTAGGGACTAACAGGCAGTAGAAACTGCAAGGGAGAATGTATTTCCGTTTTTCTTTCTGAGGTGCCCTATCTGAAATAAGATAAAGTCTTTTGCCCTGTAGACAGTTATGGAAAACTTTTTTTTTAGCCTTGTCGAATATTTGTGTGTGTGGTATGTGTGTGTGTGTGTGTGGCCACGCGTGAGAGAGAGATACATGTAATGTTGGGCTTCAAGCAAGCACCCACGCAATTATAGATGATTGGTAGATAATGATCTGGGACAGGAAGGAAGCATGTCATAGTGCTATTGTGGGGGTTTATATGTGGTTTTTAATTCGTCTTTTCTCCTCTTGCTGCACATTTGTTAGCGAAGTGGGTTGGGTGTGTAGACTACTGGAGTATCTAGTCACTTCTCACTCTGTATGATATGCATTATGTTTCATTACTTATAAAACATGTCCTCTTAATTCTAGGAGTCAAGGAATACTTTAAAATGTATCCAGTTTTATCCTGATGAAAACTTTAACTCAGTAGTAAGTCATTATATTATATGATGATTTTGACTTGGATATAATTATGTGCTCTGGGCACTGATACTGAGATGTGTTTATTCCTTATTATTGGAGGGAGATTTCTGCAGAGGGAAAGTGGTGTTTGTTTTTTTGTTGGTCTTTTGTATTTTTTTTATATATATATACATATTTTTTTTTTGAAGAATATATTCAGACTAAGTTACAGTAAGATAGCTTCAGTGGAATTGCACACATACTCAGCTAGAAGAAATGGTGTTCATGACGTTGAAATGATCTTATACCCAAGTACTTAAAAGCAGGGTTATCAAAATCAGCAGATAAAGAAATCACAGACTACTCTTGTACCAGTTTTAAGTGAAACAGAAAAACTTCTATTGGCAAGAAACAGAACGGAACATATAAATTATGACTGTAATTGTGAGCATGAGCATGTAATTGTACTAGATTTTTGTCCTGCTGGCTGAAATTTGCTCTAATGCAAGAGACTAAAGATTCCACTTTTTTTTTTTTTTTTTTAAACAAATGAAAAAGTAGAAACTACTTAATGGTTCTGGGGAGACTGTAAGGATTACAGGATTACAGATGAGCTTTATTTTTCTTTGTTAAAATGTTCAATCTGGTGAAATGTGAGTGTTCTGGTGAAATCTGGTGAAATGTTTTTGCTGGACTGAAATATTAGCCACAGTATACTGACCTCACTAAGTAACACAGGTGTATTCTCCTTTTGGGTTAACAGCTGGAATCACACCTGGATATTTCTGTACATGACACAAGATTAAAGTAAGTTTTTAGGTGGAGGTGTATATGTTTTGTTTTATCTTGTTTTTAGTGCATAATCTCACTTTCTATAAACGTGAGTAAAATTTAGGTCAGAAACACATTATCTTTGGAGTTGCGTATGTGGGATTGGAATATAAGAATACTTTGAGCAGTGTCTCCAACTCCAGTCCCTTTCATCAGGGTCAACTGTAAAACTTAGTTGAATCCTTGACTACGTTTTTGGTGTCATTTTTGAGAACGATTTGGCCGAAGAAGGATAGTTTAACTAAGTTCTCTTGAGTGTTGTCTACCTGTTCAACGCAAAAAAAACTTGCTTCAATCTCCTGTGCTGTCATGAGTGTGCTGTAATTAATCTTTAGTGGCGATTTCTAAACTCCTGCCCTATTCCTGTCAAGAGAAGCTCTCCATTTTTTGTTGCTGTTACATGTTTTACTGGGCAGTTAATGAGATGACTAGATCGTTCTTGCCACCTTTTCTCCTTTTCTTCTCCAGCATGCTATTTGCTGGTGGTGTGCAGTTTCAAGCGGTAAGATTCATCGGCTTCTGTCTACCGTGCACGTGACTGCATCTGAGCTTGTCTCCCTAAGGCTCCCTTTTAACTGAGGACAATCTAGTGAGGATACTCTTACTCTCAGTCATAATTCCCATTCTCATCTATTTTCATTTGAATTTAAATTCCAAAGTGGCCTGCTTCTCTTCATTAAACACAAAGGGAGGCCAACACTGCTAGTTCAGGTATCAGTATCTGAATGTTGATGAGCTGCATCCTGCCCAAACTGTCCCCAGAATCCCTCAGTGCTATGCAGAAAGCTCAGTGTGGTGGTGCTGAATTTGCAGGTTGCCCTAAATTATCAATGTGTTCTGTTACAGTTCATACCGAAAAAAATCCAACACTTGTAAGAGGTTTTTTTTTTTTTTTTTTTCCCCTCAGACTTCTTGCAGGAAACATAGGGAAAAATCCTTGTAGGAGTGGAATCCTTTTTTAGTGGGGGGGAGGGGGATTGCAACAGAGGGTTGTAGTCATGTTGTTCTGCATGGAAAAAAACAGCACTTGTAGATTTTTAAGGATATGTAAAACCATTAAAACACTGCTAGTATGAGGCTGAAAAAGAACGTCACGATATAAAAAGTTCCGTTTCAGCATGGTTTTGTCCTTTGCTTTTTGAAGGAAATTGAAATTGGTGTGTCTACTTGGAGGTTAAAATTTAACTTTACGGACATAAGTAGTAGAGCCAGGCTCCAAAGCCTTTGCGTGCTCAAGTATAACAGGTGACTGGGTTTCCAGTACTTCAACAGAACTGGCTTTCACTTTGTACCTGTTCTCATGTGTTCTTTGTGTTGTGATGAATCGGTGTGGATGAAGAGATTTACTTAGTGATCTTTTATTTGCTCATAGACTTGTGAATTTTGGGTATGATTACTGTCAAGACCAAGAGGTTGCACCTAAATCTTTGAATCTTCAGGTTTTTACAAGTAAAGCAGGTAATGAATAAATACAAGTATTGTCACATTAATCTTCTCCACATGTTATTATCATGAAGTGTACTAAGAATTTCCTCGTAAGAGATCACACTGAATGTTTTGTGGGTTTTTTTTGTGAGTATGAGACTTTTCCTTTAGAGTGTACTTGACAGACCTCTGTGAGGAGAGGGAAAAGTGGTAACTATGCACTGATCAGTCTATTTCTGTGGGTTGTTTTATTTTTTTTTACCCTGTGAAAGCTGGAAATATGTACACACACACACACACACACACACACACACACACGTATCAAGTGGAGTCCAGGACTACTCAGAGTTTTATATATTAACACTAAATTTTGTTTGTTGACTAAAACAGTTATCCAGAAATTTACTGGTAGCCCAAGAACTGATATAACGCGCTCATAAGGTGAAGCTTCTGTAAGTAAGCATCTGCAACATTTTGTGCTGCTGACAGAGTCCAGGTGGCCCCAAAGCATGGCTGTGCAGTACCGTAGCAATTTCATTTTAAGGCTGACAAAAAGTATATTATAAAATAAGTACATTCAAAGAAGGTTCTGGTGAGATCTGGTGTCTGGGCATCTGATACAAGTATGCAGTTGTGTTACAGAGCGCATATGCGTAAACAGAGCATGTGCGATACAGATTGCAAGAGCTTCATTTTGCTATTAGTATGTGATACTTAGACCCTCAGAGTTTAGTATGTGATACTAAACTTAGTATATGATAGTTAAGAATTTAGTATGTATAAGTTGCTAGGTGATACTTAAACCTTTAGGATTTAGGAATCTCCCTTCATCCTAATGCAGGCCACAGACTTTTTCTTGATTTGAAAACTGGTCTCAAGAGATGTTTGTTCATCATGGATGCCTGCAATTTCAACTTTTAAATTAGACCGTACGACTAAGCAGGTGATGTACCTGATTAACCTTTGAATAGTCTGCAGAGTGGCATGGGGTATGATGCGTTGCAGAAGTGACTTTGCTTCTCATCTTTAAGGCCTGCTGTATGCACAAGGGTGAATTGGTGAAGTGTTTGCCAGATACGCTGAAATGACCATTAATGCAAATGAAGTAAAATACAGTTTCTTTACACTGTTTTTTTCCTTACAAATGCAGACAGCAGTTACAAAGGTTAGAGGGAAGGAATTAGAAATAAGAGGCAGTCAAGTTCCAGGAAGTGTCTACCAGAAAGTAGATTAGGCAACCTTTACTCTCTGTTAGTAAGACAATATTTTTGAGATGCCTTTCATACCCAAGCCACCTGTCCGGTAGTGGAAAAGGTATTTTGCATGTATATGCAAAATATTAATTTGCATATACATGTTTCCTCTTAATAGCATGCTCTCCAGGGTTTGTTCAGATTCAAGCACTTCCTTTTACCTTAGGATGAGGTTCAGTCTTCCTCCCACAAGACTGTTGACTGATTACCCTGAAGTGAAATGTTCTTTTCTGTTGGCAATACAGTATTTAAATTCCCTGTAGAACCTATCCGGTGTTGAACCTTCTACTCAATGTTAAACACACATTTTAACGGTTATATTTAATAAGTGGGATTACTGTATGTGGTGTTCTGTTGAATGTTGTTTGAAACCAAAATGTTTCATCATCCATTTTGAGTAGTTGACAGTTTGGATCAAATGGTTTTGGGGCTGAGACAATATCCTGTTGTTGACGGGCACTGATAATCGCACTGTAGTTCCCTTTTGGGCCTCTTCTTTGTGGTGACTTGCAGGACTGCAAGCTCTTTGGGGCATAGACCATGCTTTCTATGAAATTGTTAGCATGCTTTAACTATTAATACTTATATATCCCTCTTTGTTCCATTAAGCCATCTCTGATGAAGAATAATTGGAATAAATTCAAAATGGAATATTCCATGCAGTTTCCTATGTAATAAAACTGTTATTGACTACAGCCAGTCTGAACTCTGAATGAAATTGCTCTTTCTTTCTTGAATTTCCATAGCGGAAGAAAAGTAGCCCTGTTCCTTATATCCAGCACAAACAAGACAAAATGTCTCCAGATAAAAACCCTAATGTACTTGTCACAGATTAGCGGAGATCAAACAGTTCTAGTCTTAGAATTAACTTTGTATGTTCAGCAGTCAGTGGTTATTTAAACAACACTTTGTGGTTATGTTTTCTTTCAGTGCTTTAGAAGTACTTTTCAGTTAAATTTACTGGATTTTCAAAAAAATGCGGACAGTAAGATAGCCTAAATCCTGAATTACCCTCACGTAACTTTATGTGGGTAAAGTTAAGTGTCTGGACTACGTTTATAGAGAGAAATGAGCATCTCTGAAGGATGATTGCTTCCATCTGTCTTTCTTCATTTGCTCTAGAAGGAGCTTAAATGAGTGATGTTTGGATGACTGAAGTTAGATGAGACAAGTCTCTCCTAAGCCTGAACAAGTAGACAAAATGCTCTAATGCAATGGTATATTTGAATTGTGAGACGCTGAGAAGCCATGTTGAGATGCCGTGTTGGTACAGCATTCTGTTTTAAGGTTCTGTGTGAAGAGAAATCAGGAATTTGAAGTTAAGTTTCCTAAGAAAGACTTTGTGTCTTCGTGTCTGTAGTTCATGATTCTCTCTTACAATTTCCATGGTGTGATGTTTATTTACCAAGAATTGCAATTGTTTCTGTAACTCTGCTGAATGTAGAAACTTACTGTTGTTCTACATGAATAGAACTTTATTTTTATGTGCAGCCCCCCCCATTGTTGTTAATTAAGATCTTTTCAGGAATTAAAAAAAAATAAAGGAGTCTGTCCAAATATATCTTCATGTATCTCTCTCCTCATATTGTAGCATTTAGCTCAAACTCTTATTGTTTGCAGACGATATGGATGGATAGTATAGGAGACTTTGTTCTGCCTGTGCACAGAACACTTACTGCCTGGGTGTAATAGGAGTACAAGCTTTCCCTGCATCAGTGCACCCCAGCTCTGATTTGCAGAGAGCACTGCTAAGGGTAGGAAAGGAGTCTCTAGTACGTTTTCAGTCTCTGCCTGCTCCGAGACTGCCAAGATAGTAGCAGCTCTTAAGGGTGCTTCGTGGACACTTGCTGAGCTAAGACTGTAGTGCTCCTTTTATCTGTGTTAATGAAGCACCATTTGATTATATTATCTATCACTTGTAATTCAAGTTGTTAAGGTTTGGACCGGTATCCTAGCAGTGAAAGTATGTGCATCCCATTAGTAGTCTCCAGAGCCACTGTTTTTTGTGATCAGCTTGCATATAAGCCCGCTGATACCTTAATGTAACAGATTCACTTGCTTGTTGTGCAATTTACAGGATAGCATACGCTTTATCCTCCAGCTATCAAGAAGGAAATTTGTAGTGTCGGAGTGGAGCTGTTGGCAATAGAACAGCATTGTGGGTTTGCTGGAGCTCTTCCAATTTCCCTGCTGAGTCCTGATACTGCTACTTTAAAAATTATGCATGCCCTGAAAGATACCAAGGGCTCTGGCAAAATGCCCTGTCTGTTGTCTAAATAGCTTAAATAGCCAAGCAAAACTGTATGAAGGTTCCCAACAGTATTCAACCTGCTGAGAATAAGCAGAAAAAAATTGCACCTCAGAAATTATTTACCTTTCCCAGAAGTGCAAAGTGTCTTGGCCAGGTCTATATCACAGCTATGGTACAGCTTTTGTGGTCTGAAAGTACTAGGCATTTAACCAGGTAAAATATCATGTGTATTGTGCTTTTGGATTTGTGCTTTTGTTTCTACTATGCCCTTTTCTGTATACCTTGTGTATATGAACCTTTTGGTTTTTTGCAGAAGAATATTTATATTAGCAATACTTTTATCTTTGCTGAAAATTTATCACTTGGAAAAAGGTGAACGGTCATAGTTATGGTCCAGCTTTCCCAAGTGAGTTGGGAGAATGTACTTTGGAAGCCCTTTCTAACATGAATGCCAGAGCAGCTTGCCAAGGCATTGGACTAAGTGGATTAAAGTGCTTTTTTGTTTTTGTTTTTTTTGTTTTCAACAGGAGATGGAGGGAGGGCTACCATCTAACTGAGTCAAAGCAGTCTTATCAGTATGATTTAGAATTAGGGTGGAAGGGGAGGACAAAGACTGATTTTTCTCCTAAAAAAAGAAATTGTGGTTCTTTGGACTGGAGAGTGGAAAAGGGATTGTAACCTCTAGTGTGAGAAAGCACTAATAGCCTATCAGGCTGCTGCCAATATGAAATGACTATTTAGAAAGCAGACAAACTTCGTATCCTACTATGTTGTTCTTTGCATGTTTGATAGCCCCTTAACAGAAAATATCTAGAGATTGAGGTGGGCTGTGGAGAGAAAGGCTTGATCATTTTTTTCACTGCAGGCATGATGCATGATACCCTTTTTCAGAGGGAAGGGGTAAAAACGTGCTTCTCCTAAACAGAAGAACTGTCTTATGTCAGAACCCAGAATTGCATTGTGACACATTATCTCCTCTATTCTCTCTCCCTTTGCATCTCACTAGGGAAGTGATAGATAAAGAAATATGTAATATATATTTCTATGATCTTGACCTTTTCTGAGAGATTATCACTGTTTGTTTCTGACTTGTAACATTCTTGCTTTAATTTTGTGCAGTATGAAAGTGTCCATACATTCAAGTGCACAAGTCGATTTTCTTTTTGTCTTTTTAGGAGGCTTGTGTGTGTGTTGCAGTCTAGTCTCTGATATTCCTGATGAAATAACATATTCCATATATTTCTTACATAAAGGTAAGATTATCCTGTTCCGTTATGCTTGCTTTATTTTGGAGAATGTGACTTTGAAAGAGTCACAGAATGCTTTGCAAAACAAGGAACTACCTAAGTCTGTGGACAATAAACTACTGTGGCTGGCGTTTTAAAGACGGCAGCTGCGTTTGGCTGCTAGGTCAACCTTCTAGCTGTAGACTTCCTGCCTGATAGTGAGCAAGTTGCTTCACACCAATGGCTTCATGATCTCTATTAATTGGATCCCTTATTTCTAGCCAGGCTTTCTGACGTGCTGAGCACAAACAACATCAGCGAAATCTGTGAGAGCTGCAGGTGTGCGGTACTTATGCCACAAGGCATTCAGTGTGTAAGGAAATGGAGCCCGCAGCTCTCGGCTTGAATGTGCGTTCGGAGTTCCAGTTCAACTCTTTATTTTCACAGCAAGGAGTGCAACATGCCCTGACTTTAAGAATGGTATATATGTAAGCGATGTCCTAGTTCTTAGTTGTAGGCCCTAATTTTTTCTTGGAAAGAATGGAGAATATTGTTTCATCTTGATCAGAGCAAAACTTACAAAGTTAGCAAGATATCTTTTTTTCATTTGATAGTGGAGGAGAGGAGAGTCATTTCTCAGGGAGAAGCTGCATAGAATGGAGTAAACATATTCAAGTAGGCAGCGTACTTCTGTTTTACCTCAAGTCTTTGTTTTCATGTGTCAGGAAGATAAGTTAGGACTCCAGTGCTGAGAGTTGCACTAACCTGCTACTTTGCTGCTGGAACTGTGTTTCTGGGGGCTCTTGAAGGCGTTAGCAAACTGTTGAAAAGTCCATTTTGGGTGTGGAAGCACTCTGCATTATGCTACTGATGATTCACAGTGAAGGGCTGATTTCCTCAGACGTGCCCTATGCGTCGCTGACGAGGAGTTGCATTTCTGTAAGCCAGCCATAGCCCTTGCGCATCTGTATGTGTACCGGGAAGAGAGTGAGGATAAATATGATGGTGATGTTGACCAGCTGCATCTGGACTGACCTTCATGGAATGGAGTTTTTTGATGTGGAACTGTTTCTGGATTCATGTAAGATTCATCAGTCATAGAGAATTACACGTTTTGTCTTGAAGTGACCCTGCAGAGGCAGTGGCATATCAGGAGCACGTCACTTTCTTGAGACGCATAAGGAGTTCAGTCTGTGTTGCAGCATCTGCACGCTCAGGAGGAGAACTTCCTTCTCCATGTGAACGCAAGTCCCCACAGTCTGTTGATGTAGCATAAATGCAGAAGTGGTGATGTTGCAGGTGTATTATCTATAGGGCTGCTGTTGGTCTTGGAGAGATCTTACATCTTTTTTGCAGCGGGATGAAGGATATCTTTCTGCTGGAGTCAAGAGTCAAATCCTGTCCACCTGGATGGGTGTCCGAAGCATGGCTCATCCCTTTTCTTTTTTTTCCTTCTTTTTTTTTTTTCTTCTTGGTGGCCTTAGACTGTAGATCTCTCTCTTATCCTATGTTTTCACACATAATTAGGTAGCGTATTAGGTCATAACACCACTCATTGCATGCTTAAGCATGGACGTTTGGAGGCAAGTTATTGTCTCCTTAGTTATCTGAATCTTCAGTTTCTCTCAGAGGTTGATGAAATAGAGTTCTATGCTGTTCTTGCTGGACAAAGGAAGAGGTTTGGTGCAAGCTTAGAATAAAATAATGCCTGTGCTGATGCTAAGTCCATGCAAGCACAATGGGTCTGAAATTAGCTAGTATCCTCACCTGAGAGGTGAGCTGAACTGGAGCAACAGGGTATGTAGATAAACTGGAGGTTCTGTAAAGCAGTTGGAAGATCACCAGAATATGAGGCACAACTATATAACGATTTTTTTTTTTGAGGGGGAGATATTTTTACACAAAAGCTTACTCTGCGCTGGAATGCTTCTTAAACAGGAACACAGTCTTATGTAGTACATGGCGAATTTCCGTATACTAAAGAGCTGTATTGTGTGGGTGCAGGTCTACTAAGTATGCAGCAACTCTGTTTAGTGTGAAGTAAATCCATCTGTGCAGAGAAGCCCATAAAATAGCCTGAAATATCAGTTTGTTTGGGTAAACTGGCACTGCTAAGATTCTAGCTATGAAGTCGTACGTGGCTCATAACAGATGGTGTGGGTTTTTTTTTTAAATTTTTTTTTTCCCCAGGTTACAACAAAACCTTTACAGTCTCTTTAGAAAGAACAGAAACCCATCAATTGAAGGAAGTGGCTTTTTTGAATCTTGGTAAGTTATTGGTGGTGTTTCCCTGTGTGACTGCCATTCTCTGTCCCCAGTAGGAAGACAAATGGCTAACCCTCCTCTAAGAGGAAAAGATTTATTTTTCTTGACTTTAAGTAGTTGTGTGGTGTGTGCTTGGTGTGGTTTTTTTTTTTTTGCTTAACTTTTTTATTTGGCATTTGATATTGCAATAGCCCACAGTTAGTAAGCAACTTCCTCTAAAATTAACTCAGCCTCTCCTCTGGAGATCAGCTAGTGATTTCTTGAGCGTCTTGAGCCTCTTGAATCTTACCCTGAAAACCCAAATGTATTGCTACTCTTTCCAGTGTTAATACTATAGCTGCTTTTAATTAACTCCTTTTATATTTCCTAGACATAATCAATTCCATCAAAGAGAAATGGGTCAAGATGAGAATCATGTGAAACAACCTCTTAGAGCAAATAAGTGGACAAGTACTAAATTGACTGCTGTTATTTCTTTAAATAGATTATTATGTGGCTGCTTATTTGCCTGGCCAGTTCCTGCACCTTCTGAATATTCAACATCCTGATCTACTGTGCTATAGTTTGTTTTTGACAGGTACAGTAAGACTACTGCTTTGAAGTAATTCTTATTGTAGTGAAAACTTGTTCAAATCTATTTACAGGAAAACTGAGTTTGCTGTGCAATAAAGTAAACGCTAAGCATTCCCTAGAAGAGAGATTGAAAATAAGAACCACGTTTTTGCCACTTCAATTTTTAAAAGAGAATCTGAAGAGGCTTTCCTACTTCATCCATTACATACTTCTAGCTTGTTGTGAAATGGAAGAAGAGCTTTCACTGAATTTGAAATTCTTTGCCTCAGTTTCATAGTTTCCTTTCCCTCACCTTTGCACATGCTTATTGGTCCTCAGCTGTTCTCAAATTTCACATGGAGATGTAAATTTGGTTTTACACTTCCTTCCTCCAATTGAGTTGCTCTAGATGTGTGTGTTTGGAGGGTGTGGGGAGAGGAAATCTGTGTTTCCTTCACCTGATCAAACTGATGCAATTTAATTTAGAATCTCATCTGAGAGGCACGTTATTTCATTTCCAAAGAACGTGTCTTTGTGGGAAGCGGGTTATTTTTGGAAAAGGAGGGGCTTTGTTTGAAAGCAGAAGTCCGTTTTTCTGGTTGGATGAAGGAAAGGTAAGCAGTGGAGACTGGTGCAGGGGCACTATAGGAAGCAAATAAGTGGCTGTTATGTATATCTGCTTAACTTCTCTCCTCTCTCATCAGAATATTTATGTGGTGGGCCTGATTTCTCTGATGCAAAGGGTCTGGAATCCTATAACGTAGTACTGTGGTGATGAACCTCAATGCTAGCATAAATAAAGTGGTTTTGAACTGATGCTTTAGTTGGTATTCGTAAAGCATAGCCTTCATATCCTGGTCTACCTGGGAAAGATGATAAGCAGTCTACTAATATAAGGTTGTATCAAAATTCTAAATGTGAGCATTTCTGACTGTAGCGATGCTTAGGTGCCAATTCTATTGTTGTATCTGTATTACTAGCCTGTGCCCTTCTCTGCCCTGTCCTGTGTATCCTGATTTCTTCTATTTCTGCATTGCGGGCCTTAGATCTGTACAGCTTCTCTGCTTCAGCAGTAGGGAAGGATTGGATTGGATTGGATGTGTACTGTGCTCCCTGTTTATTCCCTCTCCTCAGCCAACAGCGTTCCTCCTCCTCTTCAGCACAGTACCAGGGCAGGGCAGACTGTTTTTTACTGCTGGGGACCAGGGAGTGTTGGGAGGAGACAATACTGGTAGCAGCCAAATTTTACATTCTGAGTCCTTTCTCTCCTCAAACCTGTGTTCTTCAGGTGAGAATGCAAGAATTGACAGGTTGTGCAACTGCTCCATCCAATCCCCGCTTGTGTCAACAGTCTTGGATTGCTCTGCAGGAAGCATATATGCAGTGAGCATCAGTGACAACGCCTTATTGCAGTTCCTATGGAACAGCAAGCAGGACAGCGAGAGATTGGCAGCTCTGCATTGTGCTCTTCTGTATGTTGGAAGTACAGCAGACTTGGAAATGCAGGTGGGAGAAGAACCTGCTCTAAGTTCTTTAGACTGTCAGACTTCTGACATCTCATAGAAAGCAGGGTCAGGGGATGGTACCAAACAGAAGTAATCCTGATTCACATATGTCTTTTGATAGTACCAAGAAAGTCACCAGCTGGGCTGCCCAAGGTGCTTTGTTGGTCAGAACTGTTCTGAAAATGTTTATATCCATATCATTGCTCCCTGCAAAGTGTTGGGTACCTGAATCAAAGTTCCTATGGCCTGTTTCAAGTCTCTTACGCGTGCTTAAACAGAGAGATGTGACAAATTACCCTGTTCTGATTCTTGCAGATTATTTGGTGGATTTCTGAGAACCTGTCAACATGTCATACTTTTGACCCCATTCAAGAATTTATCATTGGTAGGTATGTCTCTTCCTGCATACTAAGTTTGAGTGCCTAAGTTGCAACCTAAGGGGAAGCCGCAATGTCATGAGCTGACTCTTCGTTCCTAACGTTTTGATTATAATCTGTATTAACTGACCTACATGTTGTGCTGTTAGAGGCAATGTCAGTAGTTTGGGAAGAATATAGATTGGAATGGCAGCAAAAAAAATCAGAATGGCATCAAAACTTTTCAAATGCAAACTTCTGTCCACTGAGACAAATAGTGTTTTCATTATTGTAAGTCACTGGAGAGCAAACTCTCTGCCTTGCTCTTGGCTTGAGTGTCAGGGATGCAAATAACTAAGATTGGAGAGGAGGAACAAATCTCCTCTAGCCCAGCCCAAAACACTTTGTCATAATGCTTTGGCATAACATGACGTTCTCCTGTAACAACAGATTCCTCAGCCTAGCCAGTGCATGTCCTGTGTGCCCTGAGCCTTTGTACAAAGGACCCCTGCAGGGCTGAGCTGTGGCCAAGCCACTGACCCAGCCCTGCACAGCCATCTGGACTTCTCTTCCTCCTTTTGTGCACAGACTGGGACCAGTTCCACTACGGACGAAGCCGTTTCAGAGGCAGCAGCAGGATTTATCCCTAAACAAGTGTTGCGTAGATAAGGAGCAGAGTGTAAAGCCTGTTCTTAATAACTGATAAGTTTACACAATCTTGCCCTTCTCTTTTTACGTTGCATTCAGCCTCCCTTTACTGCAGAATGTGTCCAGAAACGCACAACCTGGATAAACTTTTGCCATACACCTCACTGCTTGACTGGACTGGGGTAAGAGAACAGCTCATGCTTCCATTAATAACTGGAGGGAGTCTGCTTGTTTTTTTGTTTTCCTTTAGTAAGACCTGCCACGTGACTTATTTGTATGCATCACCTTTTCTCAGACATGCTCTAAATCCATATTTGTACTATATGCCCTTTTTATTTTGTCAAGTCTTAACCTTAGTAGTGTCTTTCACAAGGCCCAGTTTCCTCAAATAATTTCCTTTTGTAAAACGGGAATAACTACTGTAAAGTAATGGATGATTAATTTGCTGGGCTTTGGTAACAAGATGCTAATTGCCTATCATATGATATTTATAATGGATACAAAATAACTAACAGAGTCATGCAGTTATTTCCAAGACAAACAGTTCTATGGCAAGTGAATTGTATTCTTAACATTTGTCTGTTTATAGGTTATCCCTGAAGTAACATGTGCAACAGACATTATTCCTCTACCTATATTAGATGTAAGTTTCTATATAAAAATATGTTCATGTTGGCAGGTAGGTAATTTTTGCCTTTTTAAAACTAAGTACTAGTGCAGTGTTGGCGTGCACAGCCCTGCCCAAAAACAGAGGTGAACAGAAATTTGCCGTATTGTAAATGTGTGACCCATTTCAGAAAATATCAGTCTTCCTGACTGATGTTTGCTAGCTCAAGGACTTTTTTTTTTTTTTTTTTTTTCTTAAGAGACTTCTTCAGTTCAACAGGGAAGGCCCTCCAAGAATTAATTGGATAATAGATTTGGAAAATCTATTAATTGGAAAATAGATTTGATTGATACCTCTTCACTTTGCGACTTTGTTAGCTGGAGGTAAACTTTTTGGCAGAGAAGATGTTGAGGATTTCTCAATATTTTGGTGTGCTCCTGGGAGATTTCATTGTGCTTCCATTGGTACTTGTGGTTCATGACCCTCCCTTTGTTTTGTCCAGAGCATCCTGTGATTGGACTGATGTCAGGGCTTTGGCTACCTAATTCTAGAAACATTCCTGTACAGCCTGGAAAAGGCAGAGAGCTGGATGGGGAGGAACACATGCTGTTTGGGTAGGAAACTCTGTACTTTCCGTTGAAAACGAGATGAATGATTCTTCCCGTCTTCCTTTTCCCTGCCTCGGCTGTCCCCAATTTAGGAAAACACTTCACATTTTTGCAACTGCTACCCACAAGCGCTTTCTTGTTCCCCATGGGAACACGTTCTGGATACGTGAGAATATCGCGTTGTGTAGAACTTTAACGAGGTGAGAGTCTGTTTTCTCCCCAAGTACTTATAGTTAGTTCATAAAACTTCAGTTTTAACAAAACCTTTTAAAACTGGTGAAACTACCCACTGCCCCCTCACTCCTCAGCAGTTGCATCACAGCCATATTGCTTCAGATTCACGTCACTGTATCTGCAAATCGAGCTTTGCGTGCTTTGCTTGGGAAGGCTTCCCTGGGAGATGAGACACCTGGGAAAATCTGATCTTGAAATTTTGTTGCTAAATAATCCCTCTAATTCACTAAGGTCAAAGTTAGCAAGCCTTTTTAATTTGTCTGAGATTGAACCTCAAACCCCTGGGGGGCAAATGCCTTTAGCAGCTATACTTCCTGATTGTGGAACTCATTTCCTATTTCTGTCTGAAACCTAAACAGACTGAAAAGGTCAGAGTTGAAATAAAGACACGTATTTCCTGCTACTTTTGACTGCAGATTGCTCCGGCTCTTGAATGAGGACAGATATAAATACACAGGGTTTACTGCTTTGACTGCTTTGTACCACTCCAGTGATACAAAGCCACCATGCCTTGAGTTTAACTGATCAGTTGATGCGGTTTTGGTTGGTGTATGTTCTCAGTGTCACAGTCACTCGGGTGAAGAATCTGGTCCTATATGTATTATTTCTGTTGCATCAGATTTTATGGCATTTCACAGAAAGGATGATGAATTGTTTACCTGAGAAGCTTCTTAAGGTTCTCAAGGCCTTGAATTGTTGAGAGCCTTTAGGAGCACTGTATCGTTATTCATAACATGACGTGCTCCTTCGGTAACAGGTCTGTTTTACCACCAAATTCCTGCTCAGCAAGAGATATTAAGAGAATGGGGTAGCAATCAGTCAAGAGGTCAAAAAGCTTTACACAAGAGCTGTCATTAAGATGAGTCTGATCTTAAACACAAAAACCAAACTTGAAGGAGTGCCTATAGGCTTTAAGTATCGGAAGGAGAGGAGTGAACGGCAGGAGGAAGAGCGTTTGAGGGAGTTTGGGAGAAGAGCGTGAAGATACATAGCGCACGCAGTTGCCAGGGAGATCAGCACAGAAAAGGGAGCCTCTCCCTCACCCTTTGCTGGGGCTAAAGAGTGGAAATTTTATGGTGTAGCTGCCTGCAGCTCCCTGCGTGGTTAGTTACACGGCTCTCTGAATGCCTTTGCTGCTGGGTAGAGGTATCGCAACAATTCTCCGAGAAGGTGGGTGTGCTCTCCTGGAGACTTGAAGGTCACTGGTACCCTTCATTGCTTCAGGGAGCTTTCTCTGTCTTTAGTGAAAACACCAAAACTTACGAAAGACTCTGTGGGAGCTCTTAATGGATGGTGAGCTGGTAAGGCCTTGGTTTGACTTCTGGTAGTACCGTGTCTTTTAGGCATTCACACTTAGGCATTAATTCCTGACAGTCTAGAAATGTCTACAAAATAAACGCCACTTAAGACTGCATAAAGGAGTGTTCTCTTTCAAATCTTTGCCCTGATGATCCTCAGAAGATCACAGATTTAATTAAAATAATCCTTTATTTTAAGTTTTTTACTCTTTAGTAAGACCTAAAGACAGTGCAGGTTTTCAGTGGCATCTGCTTTTAATTCTGAAGTCTGCCACTTCCTGTTACAGGCAATAACGTGAAAGAAACTTGCTGTCTTGCTTCCTCTACCACAAATCAAACTTCTGTGTGGTCTGAATGCATCTTTGCAGTGGTAGTGCTGTCGCAGTTGCATAAATTGGTCACTAGATGATACCCTTACTCTATGGTCTTGATTTTTTTTTTTTTTTCCTCCTGATTTCATATTGGTAACATTTATGCAACATACTGTGGTAGTCCATTGTAGATCTTGTTAATCAGCTCCAGCAGGGTGAACATATGGTGCTGTATGCCCTTCTAGTTTCCAGCTGCTAAGTATAAGTAACCTGAAGCAAAAAGTATATTTATTTTTCCGCTGCAGCTACAACAATAAAGCAATAATCAGCCTTGGCAGCAAGAAGGACATGGCTGGCAGGAGGGAGTCTCGGCATGTTATTTTCACTGGGAAATTGTAGTCTCTAGTAGGAAATGATTTAAGGGCGTTTGAGGTTTTCTTCTGAAGTTACTGCCATTGCTATCCCTCTCCCACTTATCTAAAAAATCCAACATGTTTTAGCAAGCCAGGGGAATGCTGTGAATCCAAATTCTCTCTGCCTTCTAATGTTTCTACTGTAATGTCTGTGCCGTAGTGTCTGTACGGGAAAGGTAGATGGGTAGGAAGGGGAAGAGAAGTGCAAGTACCCGCACTTGTTTTTTAAAACTGCCAAAATGAAATGCCTTAATCTCAATCGCTCTCCGTTTATGAAAAGTGGCCTTAAATCTCTATGGCCACTCTAGGAACTAGCTCAGGAAACCAGTACCTGTTTGTTTCCTCCTGTCTGTTCACAGCTGGATTTAAATCAATTTCAGCGTTAGAGTCAAAGGTTGTAGAACTGCTGTGGAAGTGTTTGGATTTTGTTTCTTTTCCGGGTTGAGAGTCTGTTGCCTGAGGTTAGCAAAGGGCTATTTGCAGTGGAAGTATTAATGCAGCTTGAAAATATTACTAGCCTGCAGCTGCCAGGGTTGTGGTGTTGCTCCTCTACTTAGAGCTACTGGGAAACCAGAGCAGGATTTATCTGACCCAATGTAAATATTTACATCCGAGTTAGTTGCCTAAGGCTCCTTTTCAGAGTCAGTGGAACTGTAGACAGTATGGTCAGTGTACCCTGTGGTGCAGTTCTTTCCATCCTAAACCAAACATCTGAAATGAGTCAGATGAGTTACGACTTAGAAGTACCCATTTCTCCCCAGTGACTGTAAAAGGATCTCAAGGTAGCTAGGTATCTGCATTGCAGCCATCAGCTCTTGAGCTCAGGTATAGGTAGATCCTACACCTACTGTTGCATTTAAAGAATAAATGTTTAGGGTAAAATTTAAAAAGTATTGGAAAAAGAACGCAACTGCTTTTGTTTATTTTTTTTCAACTAGGTTATTGTGTAACCACAATTATCACCATTCTTTCCAATCATTTAATGACAGGACTATTAGATATTTCCATAACTATGCAGCTTGTATTCATGTTTTCCCTGCAACGCTTTGCAGTTCCAAAACTCTAAAGGCTTCTGGGACAAATTTAACTCGAACTTGGAAAGTGTGAAGTATGCAGAGCCACACTTGCATTACCACAACAATGTCCTGAGGAGGGAATGGCTTAACCTTTCAGAAGAAGTAAGTATACATTCATTGAAATAGTCTCCAGAGCTGTCTCTTAAATAGTTGTTTTAAAGCCAAACATGGAAGAGTGTTGTGTTTTGTTTTGTTTGGCATCCTTCAAGGATGTGATGGGGATAAAGGAATGGGCACCTGGTTATGAGAGGTGTAAAGACTTTCAGTCATTTTGCTTGTAAGGTCATTGTCTCTAAGTTGCGTTCGGTGACAATAAGGAGAGAAATTACACAAAAGTAGAGCTTGCAGATGCCTCTGTTATCATGTAATTAAGATGTATGTGGGTGCCTATGGGCGTAGGTGGATGGAAGGTGGGTTGAAACCCCACTGTGCCTTTAAAGGGAAAATCAACTTCATTTCTCATCTGCCTTTCATCAGGAAGTATTTTAATTGGCCTTCTGGTTTGTTTGTTCATTTGGAGTTTTTTTTCTTTACGGTTCAGAAGGAGGAAAGAAGAACCACAGCATATTTAAGGAATATTATTGAAAATGCAAAAAAGTAGGTACTGTTTTTTTTTTTTTTTTTACTATATTTACCTCCTCTTATTTTGTTGAGGAGTGTTGAAGGATTTAAATGTGTTCTCCAATATGGCTAATTAGGTACTTGATGAGATACTTTGCCCTGAAGATTATCTAGCTGATAATGAAGTACTAGAGTGCTTATGATCACTGCGGCTTGATCTGAAAAATCCAGGCCTCTAGGACCAGGGAATTTATGGCAGTTATGAAGCCATCTTATGCAACCCAGGCAGATGTAATTCTTTTTATGCTATTTAATATTTTTACTAAATGTAGTTACAGTTACAGTTCTTGGATGTCTTTAGCTGCTTTTGAAAGACCAAAGGGTTATTTAAGCTTGTTAATGTCCTAAAGGAATTCTTTAGAGCAGTGCTTATGAAACAAGTTGATTTTGTTTCCAACCCTAGGGTGCTGGCTCATCTGGACACTTGGGACTGTGGTAAGTAAAACTTATGCTGATGTAGGCCTTAGCTGGAAGGTTTGTTAGAATATTTATATCTAGCTGTTGTTGACTGAAAAATAAATTGCTATGTGTGCTTTCAGCACTGAAGAGTTTGAGGGATGAAGATGAGTGGTTATTAAATTACAGGAAAACATTCTCTCTAGTAGTAGTGATAGGATCGTATACTGACTAGGAATCCTTTGAAAATAAAGGTCCTACTTCATAAAGGTTCTATTAACATAAGCATTAAACCCTTGTCTGCCTAAGGACTTTTTCCTCAAGATTTTTCTCCTGGAGCAAAGTATAGATGACACCATGTTACTACTGAGTCCAGAGTGCACTTATAGCTGCCTTTTCAACTATAGAAGTTGTAGTTGGTGATTCAGTTATGGTGTAGAGAAAGCAGACATATAACGAATTTTCCTTGGCCAGGAACGATTTTTCTGTGATGTGTGGTTCCACTCTCACAAATAGGTAAAACTGAATTCAGTAGTAAATCATGTTCCTGTTGTTCTGTCTTCTGGGACTGCAGCCTGCCCTGTTGGTGTACGCTATGAAACTATGCTGATCTGAGTTATACCCACGGATTTCATTGCCAAAAGTTTTCAGTGTTATGACTGGGAATGAGTGCATCACGCTGGTTGTCTGCACCGTAGTTGCTTATTGCCAGAGACTCTGACTTTTAGGACCTTGAATCAACTCCGGTGGCCTCAGGTTCAAACTACTGGCATGTTTTCCAAAGATGCTCCTTGGTAAATAGGTCAGATTTTCTGCTGTTCCTCAAGAGTTTCCAGATAGCTGCCAGCCAGGAATGAACATCAATGTAATGTATCTTTTCTATAGGTCCTTCTTCAGGTCGTTTAAAATTGAGCATTACAGGTCTTTGAGCTGCTAAGTGGTAAAGTAAACGTATTTCAAAGTGAGCAAAGAGGATTGGAAAGAACTTTGTAAGAATTTAGCCCTCAGTTCTGAAAAATATTGACTTGGTTTTATGGTAAAAGAGGAAGTGGATTATTTCTCTTAATTTGCTGTTAGTAGACAGGAAGCACTGAGTAGGAAATAGAGGGCGCTGAACTTCAGCGATATTGGCCTGTATCTTTTTTTTATAACCTTCTTCCATGTAGTTAAAAGTTGTGTTTCTTTACATAGCAGTCTGCAAATCAAAATAACGGAAGCAGCCAGGCCACTGGAGAGAGAGTGAGAGGTCCTTCTGTGGAATACCTACTTTGTGTCCGGCCCTGTTCTTAGAAAACTCATCCAGCTGTTTGCGCTGATACTTCCAGGAGGTTCCCCTAACCTCTGTGCTCTACTGATTGCCACAATGTGATACTTCCCTTAAATATCAAAGAGAAAGGGCATGCAAATGAAATGTGAAATGGTGTGACAAGCTTGTATTCTTCTATGTGAAAACGATGTTGAAACGTTTGAGGGGAAAGATGGCAGGTACAGGGTTATTTTCCATTCCTTAGTTTTTCTCTTACACAATCCTTGACTCTGTCACTACCTTAGTTTTTCAGGCAAGTGAAGGGAAGCACAACTTAGGTTTGTTTATGTATGTTTCTAAGTGCTTTTGAAGCTAGTTGAAGTCTTGTGGTGTTTCTGTAGCATCATGTCCTTGAATGATTCTTGCTCTGTTTATTTCAGAGGAAAGGCTAACACCTCTCTTTCAAGAGGAAGATTATCAGCAGCAATTATTAATGGGACTGGTATGTGCTTTTTGTCACCCTGTACACTAGAGGGCACACAGCCTCAACAAATGTAAAGACTAAGCCTGTAAATTTCAGTGCTGAGGTGGAAGCTCGCTCAGAGTAGCTAAGGCACAAGCACAGTATTCCCTGAGTATCAGAGTTCTTGGTTTCCTTCTTAATAGGTAAGATATAAGGCTTAGGGGGGAAAAACAGCAGCAAAAGGTTAATTTGTCTAAGTGGCTTTCCTCAATACAGCTTCTCTGTGGCTAGAAACTGTTACTCTGCCCTCCTTGAACTTCATCTTAACGGTTGGTTATTTTTAGGCTATTTTATGTCCTGAAAACCTGTGTTGGTGATTTCCCTACCCGCTCCTTCTCTCAGAGAAGATCATGGAAGATTGTTCTGCTGCTCCATTTAACACTTGTTTGCTGTCTCCTTTCGTTCTACCTTACTTCTATGACTGTTCTGAGATTGCCTTCTTTTTGGCATGTTTTCACCAGTGATCGCCCCTGCTTTCATCTATCATCCTCATGCTTCTGAATGTTAAATCCTGTCTCAAACCTCTGCTTGTTCTCTGTCTGTCTGAATACACAAATTATCTTGTCTCATGGTCTCTTACTGTTAGATATTTCGTCACCAGCTTGAACTCTCCAGCTTGCAGTGGAAGACCTCAACACTGCATCTCTTAAGAACATATCAGCGCTGTCCTGTCAGTCCAAATCCACCTCATGTTTTCATTCACTGGAGTCCTGCCTCCTTTTTTCCAAATTCTGCCTCTCATCCTCTGAAATTCTTCTTTTCCTTCCCTTCAGTTTACGCAGAAGCAAGAAGCAAGGCTTCACTGTCTTTTCCCTGTGCTTTCCCAATATGTGTATTGTTCTCCTGACACACTGTGATTAATCTCCTTGTAAACTGCTTGAGACAGAGATATTGTTTATCTCAGTTGATCTCTGGGCATTGGTGCAAGTAACAATTCATAGTGTTTCTCAGACAGGAACCAGCAAGGGCCAAATCGCAAACAGAAGTTGAGTAAGGTCAGAGAATATTACAGGGAGGAGAGGGTAGGTAGTGGCACAGACCTTATCATAATAACACCTGATTGTAAAGACTCTGTACGCTTTTTAAAAATTATTTTATTTCATTTTTATTTTTTTTAAACCTGAAGTTATCAGGCTCTTGCTGTATTACCTATCATTGCATTTGTGCTAATGTTAGTTAACTCTGTAGTGAAGTCCCTCACATTTATCTGTATGTAATAAATACTTATATTCTCAGAAATCACCATTATTACAAACTTTTCTCCCTGCTGTTCTTCAGAAGAAAGGCAAAGAAAGCTGTAGTACATCTTACAGTACTTGCCAAGTTTGACTTGAAGAAATTTAAAGCATCTAAGCTTTTCCTCTTCAAAGCCACTGAAAGTTTAACTTAGCACCCATTTTGGATTATAGTATACTTATATAGTAGCTATATGTATATATGTGTGCATGTACATATATATATATATACACTATATAGAATATTTATATAGCAGTTTAGTATTTATGTAGTAGCTGGGGAGCTTTCTCTGAACTGGAGTTTTGTGATGGGGAGAAAGATGTGATAATTCCTGTTTATTAGGCCCTGCACCTAGTGGAGCTTTTGCGTCTCTTTAAAGAGCCCGCAGGAACACTGAATTGCTTGCTTCTTTTTCTAGATGGTCGCTCAGCTAAAGGAACACCTTATGAGACATCTACAGTATGTAGGAAAAAAGAAGATTGACCAAATAGTTTTGGATTACGTTGCAAATCTGGTTAGTATGATTCCATAGTCGTCACTGTGAATAAACAGAATTGCTGGGGATCGGGGGGAGGTGTATACTGTATGCATATAGCATGTGTTTGTTGGGAGGAGGCTTTTTAAAGTTGTTTTTCCTCTAACTATGTCTTACTGCTTAATAATATATATATTTATATAGTAAGTAGTAGTGCTTAGATAAAATGTAAAAGAAGTGTATTAGGCACTCAGAATGCAGAACAACGAGTTCCCTTTACAGCTTGTACAAATATGATCTGTTCCCAAAAGTGAAAATCTGAACTCATCCTGAAAGTACCAACAGAGTGTTCTTTGGAGCCTTTTTGTTTGCTATAGAACAGATTTGCTTCATGGTTTGAATAATGGAAGTGCCGCTAGGGGGAAATATGGATAAAGAAAAAAATTATTTCATTCCAATGCAGTGTGGAAGTATATCTTCATGAGTGATACATACTGATGTTGATAGGCTGAATATAACAGGAGAGAGAGTTTTGCCCAAACAAATCCATATGAACTGCAGTGAGAACTTGCTTTCAAAATCCTTATTTTTCAGTCTTTCATCATCTTGAGAGAAACTAAGAAATAAGCTGTAAGAACTGTGACTATTGTTGTGCATAGAAGTTATTGTACCTGGTTTTGTTCCATCATGATCCCAAATCTTGTCAGTGCAGAATACAGAGTGAAGATGATAGGAGCTCGCATGGCAGCTAGTGAATCCCGTTGTTTGTGCTAGCCCTGGATTCAGTAAAATTTAGTGTCTGTAGCTCTTAAATGCCAGCAGCTCCCCATACTGCTGTTTCGTTGAGCTGGGAATCTTAAGAAACTTACCTGAGGCTACTGGTGCCGGCATCTTTTCAGAAGTCTTGTACAGACTGGTTGTGCTGTTGACATTACAGCGTTCTCTGAATCCCTGCAACTTCCACGGAGGTTACTGACTTGCCTGGATGTTATTTATATTCAGGCTTCACTGTACTGGTGAACCAACTGGTCAGGCTATAATCACTGGTATCTATTTCTGTATCTTTATGGATAGAAAAGGAAACTAGTGACTGATTGAAATAGGAACAGTATGACACAATCCAAAGTTTCATACTTGAAAACAGTGCTGAAAAGAAGCAGGAGCAAGAATGTGTGTTTTCTTTCATTAGTTTTCCAGTTATCTTTTTTTTTAAAAACTTCACTAAAAGCAAGAATTCTCTCAATTTATAGACTTCTCATTCTTGGAAAAGGTACTCTGAACAAAGACAAGCCCTGTGGCTTGCACATGTTGCAAGGTCCTTTATCTGTAGAAATCATCTTACTGTTAGGCTTGGGTTTCTGCTTATCCTAGTCAGAAATTCTCACATCTCTGACCTTCCTCCATCCTAAATGTTTGGAAGTTTTTCTGGGGAATGCATTGTTTAGATTCTTCCAGTAGTTTTATGTGATACCAGCAGTGTGTAGCTGAGCTACAATTAATGAAACAGGGAGGGATTTGAAATGATTTGCTGTGTGTTTGCCTTCATAGAATATTGTAATATTTTTGTTTATTTTAATTAGAAACAAAGAGTAACAGAGAGGGAGGCTCTGTGGGTGTGTGGTCACTGTGTGAATCAATTGAAGCTTAAGTCAAAGTAGCAAAGGCATGGAGGCATCAACAATTTATCCTAGAGCAGCAGGTTAGTGGCTGGTTGCTATTGGAGAACTGTGTGTGGTCATATACAGGGAAGTGATGTGAGGAAGTGTAATGAAATATCCCAGTGGGAATTCCCTTCCATTCACAGAGGAGTTCTGCAGAGCCTGAATATACGCAGTTCCCGGTTCCGGTGCCACCTAACTTGCAGGAGTTGTTTGTATGCCCATGATGTTCTGTCCCACCTCTCTCCTTCCCTTCAATCTCTTTATCTGAGCTTTACTCTGTGTCTGCCCCTCTCACTCTTTTTGTTTCAGCTGGGCAGGGAAGGAGGGAAACAATTCAGAGAAGTAGCTTGATGCTCGCTGCTCTGACAACAAACGGAAGAGGAAGCAGAGTGAACAGACAGGCACAGGGCAGAGAGCGCAGAATAAACTGTAGAAACTTCTCTGAAAGTCACTGCTGTGGCTGCACCTTTTTGGCAGATGTCTGTAGCTCGTTATCTGACATGTTCCCAACTGGGGAGGAGTGGAAAAAAAGACTCCGTTTGGATGTGGATTTCCTCAGAAGGAAGAAGACTCCCTCATAGCTGCTGCACAATTTTGGATCTGGAAGACGACAAGGCCTTGTCTTGTTCCCTTTTCTCCTTTGCTGCTGATGCTCTTGCTCTGGCTGCTTCTGTGGCTGTTCCTACAGAAAATAAGTAGGAGTTGAGCATTTCTAGGCCCTAATTACTTTAATGGAACTTGACTCTACTCAGCACCTTGGCCTAGAAATGTAAATGTTTCGAGACAGCAAAGTACTGTTGAAAATGTCACCCTGGCCCCGCTGCATGCACCATCTCACTGTTGATTGTGTTCTCTGTAGATAGTTTTGAGCACTCCAGGGGAGATGGCTTCCGATGCTTGCCTAGAAAAAACTTAGATTGTGCCTCCTCGTTACTAAAAGAAGAATGGTTTTGTTGTGAAGGCATTGGTTTTAGTGTTAGTTTGGTTCCACCAGAGACCCACGATTAACTTTGAACAGGAGGCTGCCTGTACTGCCTCTAGAAAACAGATGTTTCCTTTCTCTCATGTCATTTGCCTGTGTCTTTCATACTGAAAACAGGTTGGGACAGGCCAACAGGTTGGCTTCCTTTCTCCGTGTGTTTTCTACAGTGTCCATTGTGGCAGGTCTCCAAAGTGAGTAATGTCATTGGTGAGGACATTGTGTCACGAGCATGCTTGTTTTTAAGATTTAGGTATATTGTCATAGCTAAGTTGACCTTGACTCTAAATAAGTTGTTCCTTTCTATGCCCTGCAAAATCTGTACAGAGGTAGCTGTGTTCCTAAGCAAGGAATGTAGATTCTGAAGTACCATCCCTGTGAAAATAATTTTTGTTGTACAAATGAGAAGAGGTGATTCTGAAATTTGTAAGAAGCTCCCCTTCACTGCAGCACTGAGGTTCAGATCGAGCTGTAACTCGCGATGCAGCAGGCTTTAGCTGCACTCTCTGCTGGCTGGAGATGAAAGTCATTCTGGCAGCAGGTGCAGTAGTTCTGACCCTTGCATGAAAACTGGAAATCACTCGTTTCCTGGAAAATGAGTGGAGAAAACCTGCCCTGTACTCAAGAGCTTAAACTGGAGCTTTCCACTGCATCCAGAAAGTATGAACATGGAAAGTATGAGGTGGTTATTCTGCGGCAGGTAGCTGCCCCAGCACCCTGATGATCATGGCTGGATTAAGTTGCGAAGGGTAGAAGAAGCAGATGTTACATGGTGGGGTTCCCTGACCAAGTTCAGGGAGATCTGTACAGGAGAGCTCTCTCAGGGATATTAGCGGGGACTAGTGTTCCCGTTCTAGTCTATTTATATGGACTTCTCTGCCTTATTTCCTCTTGCTCAGAGTCTGTAATGAGTTAGAGGACAGAGGGGGCAGAGTCTGTAAGGAGAAAAGAGAATGAGAAATGGGATTCCTGGATTCTGACCATCTTGTTGGGGGAGAGGGCTTATAACTTCTTGTGACACCTCTGGGTAAAACAGGGATCAGACTTGCTTCCTGAGAGTTTCCTGGGATTGATTAATTAGAGCACTTTGAGGTCCTGAGATAAAAGGCACGCAGGAAGTGTCTCCATTCTGTTACTGCGATATGAGAGTGGTTACAGATTACAGCAATGAGGGGCTGGCTAGAGAAGTTATTTCAGCTCTTCTGTGTGTACTTTCTCTCTTTTGGCTGCAGAAGCTTAGAAAGGCCAAGTGAGAGCAGGCCTTGTGGCTCTGTATGCTGACAGCCTGTTCTGCATGCCAGTTTGGGAGTGCATGGAAGAAACTCTGTGACCGAGGGGTGGTTTTATTTCCCCAGAGACAAGAATGAAACTGAATAGAGGAGTAGAGGCGTTTGCCTGTCTCATCTTTCGTATTTGCCAGTACCAGATTTGTGATTCCTCCTGTAGGCTTTTTCCAACAGACTGAATGTTCTGCTGTCTTCAACATCCTCCGGTTTTGTCTAGGCCATAGCGACCTCTCCTTGCTAAATGCTCAGCTATTTGGAGATGTAGTTTTTATTTCATGGCAAACAGACCTTTGAGAATTTGGTGCAAGAGTATGAGATCAATTGATCCCAGAGAAGCACCGTGTGGTAGGGTGCTGCATGTGTTGCATAGTGCTTGGATGAACTGAGAGCACTTATTTTAGACTTCCTGGAAGTGGGCAATTCTAATGTATTTTAACCAATTTGCCATTTTAAGCGCCTAGGAAAAAAAAGATGAGAAATGCTGAAGGCTCGGTAGGAGGAGTCCCATGATAAATTTATCAAGCTAAACTGGTACATGAAACAAACGAAGGCTAAGGGCCTGCCGCACAGGGTCTCCTAGATGTGTTCTGCTTTTTGTTTTAGCTGAATCTCATCCATCGAATGATGAAAGAAGTTTGGAGGAGATACCAGCTTCATTCCTGCATCTTCTGCTTGTGAGCAAGTCCTTTGTTAAAGTTTTCAGCCCATCTTTTAAAATATGGACATAATTTGGTGTTCAACAGTACTTACTGCTTGAACAGTCAGTGTTTACTGTACTATGAATGTCATCTTTAACTGGGGTAGGGGATGGTGTATGAGCGTTTACTCTTTTTAATGATCCTGCTGACCCTGTCTAAGCCAACGTAAGTATTAATCATATATGCAGTTGTATGCCTCGAGTTTAGAGTTGCTGAGTTCCCATTGCTCTCAAGTTGGGTAGTGGGTGTTGAACATCTATAAGAAACAGATCACTTATACCAGCCCTCAGCATATTTCAACCTGTTGATGTTATTACCAGGTATTACTGAGACTTGTAAATATGCAGTAGTGGGGGAAAGGGGCCACCATGAAGACTTTGTATATCCACATTTAGATGAACAGCTAGTGTTGCTAGGTGACAGACCTGCCATCTCATGGCGATAAACCCAAAACGCATGTATTTAGTGCACATATTATACAACAAATTCACCATGTTACCAGGAGAGTGCGGGCGTCTCAGGTTACTAATATGTTGCTACTCTGTTAAATGCAGTGATAAGCGAGGAAGTGCAGCAGAGTTTGCAGTGTTCCACGTCATGAGTCGGATTCTGGAAGCTGCAAATGGCATGTGCTTGCCTTTACCTCCAGGTAAGTCCTATGGATATGCATGTTTCACCGTTTTAATCCATGTGTGAGGAGAGCGATGCTCTGAATTCCTGCCAGAAGAGCATGAGTTTCAGCATGTGTATCAGGTTAACTTTGGCATTATTGAAATCTATTCAACACAGTTACGGAGCAGAAGACCCTCCATAAACACGTGCAGTGAAATGAAACAAAACGGGAATAGTTACTACAGAGATAGCAAGTTAGAGGTTTAGTTCTTTGTTTTCAGGCTCCAGTGGAGCGCTTGGGCACAGCCTTAGCTCAGAGCTAAGATTTAGACTTTTTCATGTATTTTGTTTTTCTTAAGCAACTGGACTTCAATGTTGACATTGGGCTACAAGGGAAAATCCTATCCTGGAGCGAAAAAATGAGTGTTGTTTTAATCCCTGCAAATGTTGTCTTAGCTTTGTCCTGAAAGGATTGCCCCACCCTAGATATGGAAGAGTTGATCTTGGTAGTAGACTTTCATTTCCTAGAGCTTCTCATAATTGCTCATACTGTTTTTTTTTTTTTTTTTTTTTAAATAAAGGGAAAGACTTCCTAACATTGAACGTTCAGATTTTCTGTGGCTTAATTTGCCAAAGCCGACAGGGGTTTACAGCCAAGCTCTGTAGATTTGGACTGAATTTTAATCCAATTAAGAATGCTCTTACAGACAGATTTGGCTTGCTGTCATGTTATTAGCTGTGGAACCAAGGCCTACCTGTAAATACAGATTGGCAGCAACTAATTAGAGGATATTCTGAGTTTGATCAGAAAACATAAAATAGACTGCAGTCTGTTTCTGCTTTCTGATTCTGAATCTTTTTCTAGTTTGCATTTTCTGATCTGTCTTCAAGCTCAAACTGTTTTGGTCAGAGGTTGTACTTCAGACTTTCCTTCGCGTGGACAAATGTTGCTGTGAGATGGTTTCATGTGATGCAAGACCATCATCTGGCGGAGTTAAAACTGTGGGAAACTAAAGTCTTGCTGCCTGTGCAAATACGTGAATGGCAGGCACATAGAAAAGTGATGAGACCTTTAGGTTTTGACTGAGAGGAAAGAGAAATAAAATACAAATTATTGGCATGATCTGGATATCACCTGGAAGCCCGAAGATGTTGGACTGTGCGTGCAACCTGCTTTTTAGTCCCTCTTGATCTCCTCTTTCTGACAGAGGTATAGTTGAGAGAACATAAAGGATGTTGAAACAAGACTACATAACTTTTGATAAACTGTTTTTCCTCACCAAGTAGAAACAGTTAGAAGTTAAGGAAAGATAGAAGTAAAGGGAAGCTTTAGCTAGTGTAATTAGCCTGTCACTAATTACATACTTTTAAGAAAAAATGTTGTATGTACAATGTCAGTATTGTTGTACTGAACAAGTTTATCTCCTTCTCATAGGTTTTCACACTCTACACTTGGGGCTTGGTGTTCGATGTCTCCCTCTGCACACCCTCCTGCACTACATTGATAATGGAGTCTTGCATTTGACAGAAACGTGTGTCAGGAAACTGCTGAGAGGTACAGTGAGATGAATGTATTTCATTTGTTTAACTGCCAGCTAATTGGGAGTGAAGTCCTTTCAACCATTTGAACTCAGACACGAGATCTACTGCCCAGGAGATTCAGTTCCTCTCCCAGAGTGCTATTTTAGGTGTAGGGTGTAGTTGAAAATGTTGCCCAACTGCAAGGAAAAAATTAGGGTGCAGATTATATGAGTGACCCATATTGTAGCAGGCGGTGAATACCTTTGGGGTGTGTATGTGGGGATGGATTTCAGCTGGTCATTTTTCCACTTGCTAATTCTTAGAAAAATGAATGCTGATGATCATCGTAGAACTTGTTGGGGGGTTTTGGTCATTACAAAAATGCATGTCTGTGTGTAAGGAAATCAGTCTGCTATCCAGTCCTCAGGTTTTGCTTTAATTATATTTGAGCAAGAGAATCTTAGTGCTGGGATTTGCAAACGGCTGGAAATTCTGCGTTGGGAAGAATGTGAAATAAGCAAACAAAAGCCTACCTGACTCAGCATACTAATATTTTTGGTAAATACTGAGGTATACCAAGTATAAATGTCTTCTAAATATACTTTAATGTTAGCAAAGGGAGGAGTTAAAATCACTTCTTCATGGACGCATCTGGTCATCCAGAGCGGATCCTGGTCTGTACGTGGGTTTCCTCTCAGCAGGAGAGGCTTAGGAGCAAACTAGCATGTGTAGAGTGGGGATGATCAGGGCCTAGGGCTTTGCAACAAAACAGGGCGTGGAGAAGCTTGGCAGTTGCAGGCACAGTTACGATCATACCCATGTTAATTGCCTTTTTTTAAATCAGAGGGGAAGAAGAGATAATTGTAGTGTAAGTTTATCCAAATCTGTTCCTGGATTACAGCAATATTGCAGTGTGACTTAGCTCTGGCAGTTATGCGTTTTGTTGCAGCTGTGACATTTCCTTGTAACATGCTAAATCTGCAATGTTCAAGAAACAGGACACAATGCACTGCATTAATCTGTGTCCAGTTTTTCTTGATATGCGAAATATTATAAATAAGGGGAATTCTACTTAGTGAGAATGTTTGAATTACTTTACAAGTTGTTACCTTAAATGAAGTTACATACAAATATATAGAAGTATATTTATATAAACTATATAAATAGCACTCCTATTAGGCCTTATTTGAAACTAGAGTTTTATTTCATTACAGAGATAGTATTTATTTGAACTGTCTTCAGTGAAAGTTGGAAGTTTTAGTTACGTGGTTACCCTAAAAGGTTGTGTTTTTTGGTTTGGTTTTTTCCTGCTCCTGTAGATCTGGACCACACCGAGAAGAATGAAAAGCTTAAGTTCAGTATTGTCACAAGGCTTCCTGAGGTAACTTTGAATGTCACTTCTTGGGTTTTGGAGTGGATGTGAAATTCCTCCCTGTGCACAGGATCAAGCCAATGGAAGATTTTGGGGGTTTAAGGAAGGTTTGGGTTTTTTTTATTGGTTTGTAGCATCTCCAGATGCCTTTCCTACTTGTGACCTCTTCAGCTGCGTTTGGTTTTATTCACTTTATCAAATAGGTTCAAAAGCTGATACAGTAACAGGTATAAAATTTGATGCACATTTCTGTGGTGGAGATGGTGTTACAGGACCTCCTCCTCTGTGAAATCGCCCGACCTTACCTGTTGGTAAGGTGACTTGTTAAGGCCTATTCTGGAGCCAACTATTGATGCTTCATTAGAAGTTACAACAGGATGAGAGACTGACTCCTTCTCTTTCCCCTTTTGTTCTTAGTGTGCACTACAGTACTGCAGAGACAGCACAATGTTTCAGTGAGGAGGGAAAAACCAGGGATCCCCCTCTGGTAGTGCCTTAAAGTAGAACAGGCCCTTCTCAACACAAGTTGCTTATTGTTTGTTCATTATGGACTGTTACGTATAGTTCAAATAGCCAGAAGTGCTGCTTCAGTTTTCTTTTAACAATGGCTTCTTTATTTGGCAGTAGTTTTGTGAAGGGGTAGGAAAGGAAAAGTCCACAAAATAATCCTTGTTCTTTGTCTGCTGTTTTGGGCATGAGTTGGTGAGCTGAGGTCAGTGCAGGGCCTGTGTGAGCTGTCAGCCCCAGGCCCGGTGAGTGGGAACACCATGGCCACTGCGCTCTGGTGTGAAGGGGCCAAGTTGTGAGTGCTTTAGGGGACACACACTGCTAGTTATGCACAGTAAACTCAGTGCCTCATTGTATCTATTTAGAGCTTTGGGGGAAAAAAAACGCAGAGAATGGTTTGTTTGCCTAAAAGGGCGCTTTGGGGTGACTTGGACTATTTTAAGCTCAGGTTACATTGACTAGATGACTTCAGTTGAATCAAAACCAAGCGTTTCATCAACACTGAAACTGTTCAGCGTTTCCTAAATGAACTCTTTCAGTAGTCTGTATTCCCTTACAACTGAAAGGGAGGAAACAAAGACTAGATCAGGAAAATAGCGGGAGGGGGAGGTAATTTCACAGTGTGTTCATATTTGATTGCTTAGTGATTAGGATAGGAAGCCTTGGGACATCTGAGTTTGAATCTCTGCTTTTTTGCTCCAGAGAGTATGAATCAATGTTACCAATTCCCAGGACAAGGCCCTAAATGGATTGTGTTCCCAGCATCTCTCCTCGATGGTATTCTGCTTTTGTAAGCTTCCTTATACTCATTGAGCCAGAGAGAAGAGCAGTTCTGCACGCAGTGTTAATAACAAACCCTGCTTCTCAATGCTCTCTTTAGGAGAAGAATGAGTTTAAAGCAGAGTCACATAAAGCATAAGCAATCATTTTGAGCCTCAATTAATATTTAAGTATACACACAAAGTGGGACAGAGCTAATGGGACAGATTGATTGTTAGGAACTTACTGAGTTACTTGGGAACTGAGTAACAAGATTTGATTGTTTCACATATTCTGGGAGAGTAGTCTAATCTCTTAGTTACTGGCTATGAAAGGAGGGCTCATTGGCTAAAGATTATGACTCCCTAGCTTTTATCATCAGTGTCTGAAAAGAAAACAGTCTGTGTTATGGCCCAGACCTTTTTTTTCTTTGCCAAAAAACACACCTTTTGTTGGGGGGAGGGATAGAAACTGGTCAGTCTGATATCTTTGTTGCTGTTGCTTTTGGGCATGTGATTCTTTTTTTTTTATTTTATTTTGTTTATCAATCTTCCACTGTACTCTGCTTATGTTCTCAGGATTTTAATTTTTTTTTTTTTTTAATACTTACCAGGCTCTTGGTCAAAAAGTCCATCAGTTTTGGAATCACCCAGTAAATGCTAATTTTATTGCACAGAAATATGTGAAACTGTTACTTGAGAAGCTGGGGAATAGACAGGTAAGAGTATACAGGCTGTTTTGTTAAATCTTTTGCATTGACGGTGTGGAGATTCATAACCTTGTGTAGACCATAACACACTGAATGTTACACTTAAACTCCACAGTCTACAACCTGGAACTAACTTGAAATGTTCTCCTTCACAGTACAGCAGACCTGTGCCCGAGAGACACTCAGTCCCTGTAGAGTTTTTGCCGCTTAATTACCTGACTAGTATGCTGGCAGAGATAGAGAATCAAGGTAATGTTAATTCTGTACTTTGGAAAACTAGTAATTGTTACATTTTGATTGTTCACATTTAGCTTTATCTTGGCTGTATTGATAACACTGCGTTCCAAAACTCCACTGATGTCTGAGCATGTAGGTTTTGGTCTCTGTTCATAGGAATTGTCTGAGGAATTCTTCACTAGATGTCCTTTCATCAAAATCCTGTGTTGAATCCAATTGGTAAACTGGCGTTTTTCCAGACCATACCTGGTAGAACATGGTTCACACACAGTATGGTGGTAGTTACTGTTTTATTTTCAAGCAGGTAGCATAATTTGTTGTTCCTTATTTATGCACTACAGGGGCTACAGCACTAGTGTTTGTCCTGTAAGAGAGGCAGCCAAAATCAAATCTTCTACCTCAGACGAGAGCGTCCAGATCACTAGGTTCAGAATATGCTCTAAAGTGATAGATATTTTTCATCTCAAAGCTATTCCTTTTTGTGAAATAAAATTCAAATTATTTAGGGCGTATGCTTCTGATGTGAGTCTTAGTTCCCCTCCTTGGACTTTTTAAACTTTTTTTTTTTTTTTTTTCTGAAACTCTTTTGTGAAGGTGAACATTTAAATGGAATAGCTACTACTTCATTTCACAGAAAGGTCTGCCCTAGAGGCTTGTGTTATTTTACTGTTTGCTCAGTTTCTGGCCCAGTTCACTGTTAGTTCTTTTCCTGCACAATGACTTAGTTGTGACAGGAGGGATAGAGAGTACCTAGTCACCTTTAAAACAAGTCTGTTGGCCCACTTCTGTGGGAGAAGCCTATCTTCAAGGAAGTATCCGAGGCCAAAATAGATGTAAGCGTTTTTGCAATAGATCTGGAGACTGCTGAGATTTTGGAGTGAGGCTACCTTCTTTGTATTTCCTGTTAGCCACTCAGTGTGTTAGTCTTTGTGAGTCTTATCAGAGGCACCGAACTCCCCATGCATCGTACAGTGAGCTGAAGTGTCCCAGGATTCTGGACTCCCTTGCAAAAGCAAGGTACATAAGGGAAGCATTACACTGTCTAGCATTACTGGTTATGTCTGTAGTAATAAAACAAAATAAGGTCAAGGTGAGGGCTTGAATGCTAGACTAGGACTGTCCATGTATGGATGTCATCCCAGTTGGGGCGGAAAAGTTTCAACTATGTAGATGCATATGAGAATATACCCTCATCCATTTTATTTACTAGCACAGACATAGCCACTATGCATAAGTCTTGTTTTGGATCTCCAGTGCAGAATCAGTGTAGAATACTCAGCGGTCTCTAGCTTTCCTCGTTGTAGGATACTGTTTGTTTATATCCCACTAGTAGGCAAGCTGCATTGCTTTTTTTCTCTTGTGTAGTTATAATCTGCCACAAAACAGAAAGCAAATTCAGTCTAAATGTCATAGGTATCCCATAGCTAAGCTTACTTTCTAATGTACCAGTGCTGTGGAAGTTCAGCAGCAGTAGCTGTCTGTACTCTAGAGCCCTTTCAGTTAAGGGAAATGTCTATTAAATTCAGAGTTATTTAAATTTGACATACTATTCTGAGATGATAGTCTAATTTGTTTTACGATCTCATTCATAAAGGATCTTGGAACTTGCTTGAAAAGTTTCACCAAAGCTTTCCTCCTAGCCTCAGTGTCCCCACAGAAAGACTTCGCAGTTTATGAAAAGATGGAGATAAACTTCAAAAGCTTTCTGCCCTTTCTGAGCATCCAAATGATTGCAATGAAAGCCGTAGGTATTTTGTATAAATTAAAACAGTTCCATCTAATACCTTAACTTTTGGTATTCTAGATGATGATGAGTAGTAGACTGCAAGACTTAGTGTAGAAGAATGCTTATGTTTTTGTAAATACTAACTTTCTCATGGTATTTCTCCAGATTTGCATCCATGCGAAAAGCAAGATCACGTTAATGTAAGATTTGTAGAGGAAACAGCATTGAAACACACTATGATGCTTTTGGACCTCAAGTATTCCTAAAATAAACAACTTTCTTCAGCAGCTTGTCAACTTTGCTACTTATATAAAAGAATATGCTCAGAACTGTGAAACCAACTTTTTTTTAATTTAAATGTCATGTTTTGCAAATAATCTGCAGATTTGAGTAGGCACCATTGCTGAGAGAAAAAGCTACTCAAAATAGTGTTTGGTCCAGTGTATTTTAAGGAGTGACTGGACTGAAATTACTGACTTGTAGATAAATTCTAGAGAAATGTATCTGATGCACATCTGGGTTTCCAGAAATATATCCATGGTTCCATTTATCTTACAAGGTGGTCAAATGGAACTACAGCAGGTGTGTTAAAAGAGGCTGTGAAAATCAGTGTTAGACTGTCAGTTAACTTTTTAACAAGCAGAACAGCGCTGAAAAAGGTAGTCCAGTTGTGTTGTGGAGTAACAAGAAACTGGCAACTGTTTGGATGAATAAAAGGTTTTCTTGGTGTGATTATGTGGAATAGGTAAGAATAGCAAATGAGGAATCAATCGTTGTGTATAATGCATCAGTAATGATGTATTCATTCCTTGTGATGATCACGTGTTACCTCACAGTACTTCTGTCTTTGGGGTTGAATTCTAATTAGCACAAAGTACCATCTCCTTTAAATGTATGTGACAGTTGACAGTTGTTTGTTTTTGTTTTTAGCTATGTATAAAATTGTAAGCAATACAGGACAAGAAGAAAGTTCTTTAGAAGTTTATCTTAACAGTGACTTGGACAGTTTTATATAATTCTTTCCTTACAACTTTTAGTGTTACAGTTCAAACCTCAGCTTCAAAAAACAGTCGATGCAGGTTTCTTCCCCTCATTTTCCACTTGTGTTTATACAGAACTGAACCAACTATTTTTTTCCCTCCCTCTCAAGTTGTGATAAATGACATTTATTTAAAATAGTAGTAGTGGTTTGGTACACAGAAGAAATCTTAAATTTCAGCATGTAGGACTTCTGTTATTTTTATTGGCCAAAAAAAAAAAAAAACCCATCAAAGTTTCAGACTATTAAACTAATGAAATAGAATCTGCAGGCTTTCAGTAGTAACCTCTGATATCCTCTCCGAGTAGTTCCCAGACTGATGCTTCCTGTTGCTTACCAGTGAATAAAAAGATCCAGTTCTCAGTGTCCAATACACACTTTTTTTCTCAGCAAGTGCATGATCATTCCCTTGTCATTGGCATCAGTGGAGGAAAACTTTTAGCTTTCACACTTACCATCCAGAGGAAAGGCAAATTTTTGCACTATAATTTAAATTTGTCTGGCAAGCTTGGACGTCAATCCCAGGCTGCAGAAAGGCATGCTGGTTTATTTGCACAAGTGTTGGGACTTTGTTCAGCTGTATTGAATTATTACAAGAGAAGAGTTATTACGAGAGAAGATTTTCTAGCTTTTTCTTTTTAATGAAAAGCATTGTAAAATATAATCAGATGCAATAAACTTCACTTGGAAAAAATAAGCCTAGTATGATTCATTTTTCTTAACATTTTAAAATACTGCACTGCATGTGGGATACCAGAGTCCCCCTAGCCAGGAGAAAGGGAACTTGTATCAGTGACCACTTAGCTATGCTTTTGGCATTAACAGCTACTTTGGTTATAATATGGAGTTTGGGTAAACATTAACAGATGTTCCTCCAATGTAGTTTAAAAGCTATTGACTCTTGAGATTCAGCAACCAGTTAGAGAGAGATCTTTTCAGATTTCAATTGGCTTTACAATAGGTTTTCTGATATGTCTCATGTTTGAACCAGGCTCGCTGGGTTTGAAAGGAGCCAAAGCACCATAGGGCCGTGGCAATGGGAGCTCACTTTCATCGTTTGGGATGTAAGCAGTTGGGCGTTGTTCAGCTGTTGTGTGGACGCAACCAGGCAATGCAGCTTTTTCCTCTTCTGCAGCACGCTATAAAAGAAATGTATTTTCGTCACACAGCGATTATATGCCTTAAAACTCTAGTAGACTTCTAAGTCAACGTACAGAATGCGTAACAAAGGAAATATCATTAGCCTAATTCTTAACAAATCAGGAAACCCAGATGGGTGCTAATTTTTCATTGAAAGGTAAGCACTATTTCTTGGCCATGTGGATGTGAGTTTGTCCTTTTAAATAATATACAGTTTGGGCCTGTTATGTTTTTGTTATTTGTGAAGAAAACAGCTTAGATGAACTTGAAGATGAAGTTGAGGTAAGTGCGCACAGAACATCTTGGGAGCGATGGGAGTTGCTACAAATAATTCTGAAGCTTCAGAATCCTGGCTGGATTTACACTGGCAGCAGCTCCTCCACACTAGTGTCACCGTGTTGTGCCTATATCCGCAGCACTGAAAGGAAACTGAGTCATAACGTGAGAAGTGTTAATGCCAAAGAGGTTTCTTATTCTAAACCAGTCTTACTAAAAAAAAGTGCTGCTTGGCTTCAAGTTCTGTAAACGTCTGAACTGTGTATTCCTCTCCTAGCCTTGTGCACCTTTCAAATTTCTGTGGAGAGATCAACAAATACTCAAGGATTCATATAACAGTTGTTTTCCCATCTCCAACAGTTTCTGTAGTACGCACATCTAATTTTTATACTGCTTTTCCTTGTGTGGGAGCTCTCTACTTAGGGATCACTGGTGGTCTGAATTAAAGAGGCATCGTTTACAGTGGGGTAGAATTTGAAGCACTGTCTGTTGCTCTGCTCTGCCTACCCTCGCTGTCTTGCCCAGCAGTCTTGTCACTTCTGATATGATACTTACTGTGTCTGATACTTGGAGATGCTAGGTTATTTATATTTTTTTTCCCTTCCCCCTGCCCCTTGCAGCTTTACCCCGAAATTGTATCAATATGGGTACTCCTTCCTGATGGGCGCTCACTCATCACCCCAAAACGCTGTCACATACGTTTACTTTATAAATGGAAGATACTTCTTCCTTTTAGTGTGAAGTATTCTCTCCTTAAGATTTGAGGACTAAGTGTGTCAGACTGCAGTTACAACTCCACAAACCCACAATGTACTCTTTGTTTTGTTTTGTTTTTGTAATTGCATCTGGCTATACTGTCATCTCCACTAAGGCCTGGTAGCTCCATGTTTGTCAGTGAGCAGCTATGCAGTGAGATAACAGCTCTTGCAATAAGACGAGATAGGGCAAAAGAAGAAGCTGAAGATCTAGCTGCATGCAACAGGGCAAAAACCTACTTTAGCTCTAGCTTCAGCTGCTGCTTTCTGCATCTTCTCGTTGCGCAATACCTTCAGCCATTCCCTTTCAGTTTCTTGAGGAAGGGGAAGGCCTTGATCTATCCTTGATGAAACAATCATCAAAAATTGTTCTCTGTCTCTCACTTCCTGGTGGAGTTTAATGGCAAATGCTTGCTTCATGGACAACTCTGCAACAAGAGCCATCATCTTTTGGGTTTTATCCTTTATCATCTTCTGCAGTTCATTGGTCTGAAATTAATAACAGCTACATTTTAATCAGATCTTGTCTTTAGATGCTTCCTGGACATGGGTAGCTAAGTATTAGGTACATGAAAACAAAACAGATTTGTTGTAAAGATAAGGTTTTGACTCAAGTGCCTTTCCAAATGTCAAACCTATCCAAGAAAGAAAATCAACCCTGGCCTTGTTTTACACTAATTACATGGTATTTTTTTTTTTCTATCGTCTGTCTCCCCTTCACTCTGCTCTCTTGCATTTGGAGCTTTTCCATTAAGAAAATGGGGGATGAGAGGATTTTGGAGATCACCTTTGCTCTTCCCAAAATAATATTGCTGTCAGAAGGAAATAACTATAACTATACAAAAGAAACTGTATTGAAAACTGTTTTCCTTCCGGAGTTCTCCTTAATTAAATGCTGGAGGGATCTAGAACTCACCTGGCTTTCCTCTATTTTTTAGCTGTTAATGTTTGTTGTGGAAAGATGTTTAAGTAAATATGCAAAAGGAAGAGTCTCCCAACTTAGTAATTACTCAGCCTGAGAAATAACTAATCATACGTTTGGTGAAAGATATTATTTATGATCAGTTTACTTTCAAAAAGGAAGTATATTGACCTATTGCCCTTGCAATGTCTGTACTACTGTTTTTACTAAACATCTATAATTTCTTCAGACTAACGTGTTTACGGGATTTGCCTATCAATAATCCCAGTCCCTAGTTTTGTATTTTGCAAGCAAGTCATCTTACCCTTTGCTCAGAAATGAAATTATTTCAATTCCTGTATGCCAGCAAAACAGAGCATGCAATTCCCTTCTTACCCTTTTAGCTAATAGCAGCGTGTCTTGCTTCCCGTTTTCTGCTGTGGCTCGGACTCGGTCTGTTAGCCGGGAAACTTGTTCATAGATAAAATCTGTCTCCAGCAGCTTCTCCTCCTTCTGCAGCAGCTCCAGCTCTAGCTGCGGTGAGAAGGAATACACACGATGTAGGTCAATGACAGAGGAAGGTGTTTTAGAGATTGCTTCTGAATAATGTCAATGAACAGCCATAGATAGTCATGTCACAGTCCATTTTCATGCCAAATACCAGACCAAAGTTAGCTCAGGATGTTACTATCAATATTACAGTTCTTCCATATCAGATCAGTCCCTTTTGAGGGATGAGGGAGTACACGAGCCTTATTTGTTACTGCCTTGCCATGATTTTCTTGAAAGCAGATTTTTTTCTAATGCTTTTTTTTTTTTTTAAAAAGCTTCTGGTTCCTTGAGTTCTGTCATTAGTAGAAGGTTTCAGCTCTTGTTTTAAATGAAAACATCTTTTTTTTTTTTTTTTCCTCCCCTTCTGGTGCCAAGGAAAACTTGAAAACGTGAGCTCCAAACACTGAAAAAGAAAGCGCTATGCAAACAGGGGAACTCTTAAAAACACAAGGAAGCTGAAACAGAGCATTCAGGCTTACGATGGGATTGCGAAGGCTCGGGGTTTGGGGGTTGGTAACAACGGGCTGTGTTCCAGCCTACCTGGGCTCCTATGCAGAGCTCCCTCCACTGCTAAGGAATAGGTGGAAGTAAAGCAAAAGAAGTAATTCACGAACATACTAGGTAGCATTCCTGTTCAACCATTACAAGTTGGATTGCAAAAGGAGGACTTAGATGAGCTCTACACCTGGTCTGCAGGTATCGTGATACCTACCCTGTAAAGTGTAGTGGAATTCGTAGCCTCATGTGAAACGCTAAATACAGTGGGGGCAATTATGTGTCCCTGTAAATGGGATGGACGTTTACATCTAAGAAAATACCATGGTTGCCCTTTCTATTCCTTTACCTCCCCCCTCCCCCGAACAAAAAAAGGAGGCACCTGTAACTGGCTTGTCACTTAAATTTGAAGCCTCTTCTGGGACTCGGGCAGTGCTGCACAGGCAGATGTGTAGCTCTTTGCCTGGCCTAGGGTCTGTTTGCATAAAAATCTGTTCTGCACCTGTCAGTTTGGAGTGGAAACGAAGTAATAAAAGCAAACCCTGAGAAGGGTGTTTGCTTCATCCAGCGCCACCCATGCAGGTTTGTGAGGAGGACGGTGGGACAGCTGCCTGTTCACAGTACATACGTTGTAGTGGAATAGCTGATAGACGCTACGTGTTGAAGAATGACAACCTCGTTCTGCACTTTGCTATTTTGAATTTATTACCCTCTGCCACCTTTTCTGTATCTTTCTGTAATAAAGCAGGATGGTCTGTACTGAAGTGCCAATGACGTGCGTTAATCAGCTAACGGAGAGCCAGCCACACTGCGCAGAGCCTATGTTTCGCTCCCCTTCTCCAGCCTCTGCTGGAAAAAGTCAGTGTCCCATGCCCAGTTTTCCTGGAAAGCAGAGACTGGGCTGGAGTTCCCATTAGCCAATCATAATTATTTGAATTGGCCTTACAGAAAGTTTACTTTAAAAAAAAAAACATTTGCTTTTTCTTAAAGAAGTCAGTCGTGGCCTGGGAGTTTCTGGTGTCAGAAATGATGTTACCTTTTCAATCTTTTCTAGCAGCTCAGGTGGAGATGGGTCCTCCCCTCCCAAGACTCGCTTTCTAGTCTCATTCTCAGGGTCAGCAAAGATTTCCTCCAGATGTTTAATCCTGTCCTTGCACTGGGAATGCTAGCAAACAAAAATCCACAATAGTTATTTTTTCAGACAACAAGCAAAAAGCCCAATTATTACTTTATGACAAGAGATGAAAGGTGTCAATGTGTCTGATTTACTCCAGGAGAATCATACTAAAGCAAATGAGCTGTTCAGGGTCCACGGCTTACAGCCATACCGCGCTGAGTACGCTTGATCTTGGAAGCAAGACTCCCGCCTCGCATTACAGCATGAGCAGATCCTCACCTGGCTCAGCCCTGGGGCTTGAGCCCTCAGGGTTTCTCCGAGGCCAACACACAAGGTTTCTGTGTGATTTCGGGGCAGGGAGTAATACAGAGGATTACAAACGATCGTTTCTTTTTTAAGGAGGTGACACTGTGATAATTGCAGCCTGGAGGAAAACCCTTCTCTGTGCCAGAAATTATGAG